TTATTATTCTTACCTCCACGTAACGTAACGAACGTTATAGAAAAAAATAAAAAAATAATAATCATGCTGAAAAAAAACCAACTCGTCTCGTACCTAGTTTTCGTATAACTGTAAAAAAAAAAAAAACAGGTACGTACGTATTGATGATGTCTTCACAAATGTGACGTAATTAAAAACTGGAATTTCTAATCCGGGTATTAAAACAATATATGAATCATTTTTTCATTTCTTTATGGTTCCATCGAAATAAAAAATTTAAATTTAAATTTAAATTATGTAAATTTTATTTCCTTATAGAAAAAAAAAAAAGAATTTCGCCAAGTTATTAAACGTTATTATTAATAATCTTATTAAAAAAATTAAAATTACCTTATTTTTTCAATTTGAAATCCAACGTTTCAAAAAAAAATTTTTTTTTTTTTTAGCCAAACAATACATAAATACGTATAATAATAATAATAATAATAATATAAATTTCTTTTCTTTTTATTTTTAAAATTAACGAATTTTATTTGAAAATAAAAAAAATTTTAATTTAATTAAATACAATTAATCCAATTTTCTTTCTTTTTTTGTTCTTTAACTTCTTCCGGAAACTTTTTATTTTATTTTTGAATTGTTTTCTTTTTTTCCTCCTCCTCTACTGTTTTCTCTCTAATAATATCTTTTGTTCATTTTTAAACCTTATTATTCACTTATTTGATATTAAATTTAAAAAAAAAAATTTTTTTGAAAAAATAATTAATTAACGGTAATAAACAAAACATCATAAATCAGTTAAAACGACGACGACACTAACGGTAAAATTGAGAACTAATTTAATTTTTTTTCGCGCGCATGCGCGTGCGTGTGTACCGTTAAATTATACGTTTTTACATGTTTTTTTAGTTTGTAAAATTACTAAAAGATAGCGCGCTAATCAATCAACTGATAAGAACATGGTGGAACAGGATAATTATTCAGTTATGAAGATTACTAAAAATTTGCTACGAAAACATTATAACAATTTAAATTCTGCATAAACAAATAAATAAGTGTAATTTATTTTTATTTCAACTATATATTAGGTAAATAAGAGTAATTATTTATTTATGGTAACGATTCTCATATAATTTATTTAATTCGATGAATTTTTTTATTTTTATTTTTTGAAATTAATTGTAACCGAAATTTTTTTTCCTTTTTTCTAATTTCCACTGGAAAAAATGTTTCAGTCGATAATTTTAGATATTCTTAAACATGGAATCTTTTTTTGCAAATAAAAACGTATTAGTTACTGGCGCCGGTCAAGGTAATTAATATTACTTATGTAATAAATTCAAAACGGTATAAAAAAGTTATGATGAAAATATATTTAATTTTTTTTCAGGTATCGGTAAAGATGTGGCCGTGAAATTGGCAAAATTAAAAGCCAACGTTTACGCATTGTCGAAAACTAAAAAAAATCTCGATTTATTAACTTCGGATGAAAAAAATATCACGAGCATTTGTGTAGATTTAAGCGATTGGAATGCAACTAAAGATGCACTAGAAAACCTGCCCCCCATTCACTGTTTGGTTAATAATGCAGGTATTGCTATCCTGGGCCCTTTTCTTGAAGCAAAACCTGAAGAATTTGATAAGTAAGATAACTAATCAAAAGCTACCATAAAAATTATTAGTTTTTAAAACGAAATGATTTCCATTAACCAAAACCCTTTTTTTCCAGAATTTTTAACACAAACGTTAAAGCCGTGATTAACGTTAGTCAAATCATAGCAAAAAAAATGATTAATAATTCAATAAATGGCAGTATAGTAAATATATCTTCACAGGCATCAATGGTAAGAATTATTTCAATATCATTTGTACTTTTTCTACCTAAAAATGAACTGTTTTATCAACACAGGTAGCACTAAAAAATCATTTATTATATTGTGGTACAAAAGGAGCATTGGATGCGATAACAAAAGTAATGGCATTAGAATTAGGACCCCATAAAATAAGAGTGAATTGTGTTAATCCAACCGTCGTGATGACGGAAATGGGACGTTTAGGATGGTCCGAACCTGAAAAAAGTCAAGAATGTTAAAAGATACCTTTGGGTCGTTTTGCAGAATTCGAAGAAGTTGTTAACGCTGTTTTATTTTTACTAAGCGATAATTCTTCCATGTGTAATGGCGTCATGTTGCCTGTAGATGGAGGTTTTTTGGCTTCTTGAATATCTTTTAATTCAAGAAAAAAAAAATTATTAGTTTAAAAAAATAAACAAACAAACAAACAAACAAAAATTTCCACATTGTAATAATTTTGTAAAATAATGAATGAATAAATAAATAAATATTTAACGTTTTATTAAAAAATTTTTAATTAAATTTATTTCTTGTGAAAAAAATAACCGTTTTTTTTTTTTTTTTCATTTCCTGTATACAAATTATGTACATAATATTTGTAACGTATTTTAAACGGTGGTTAAAATTATTAAAATTATTTTAAAGGGGATAAAAATGATCACCGATAAAAAATAAAAAATTTCTATTTGAAATTATTTGTTAGTAGTAATAAAAAAAAAAAAAAAAATCACATTAAATGAATTATTATTAATAGATAAATTTATTTAAATCTATTAATACAAACTGTACTTTGTTATATTATAAAAAAATCCTTTTTTGTCTCATGGCTTCCTTTGAATCTATTATCTATTATTTATTTTTTCAATTTTCCATTTTTGATTTTCAATATTTTTATCACATTTTGTTACGTATAATGTTTGTGATTCGACATTTGCCGTCAAACATCTATTTTTTGTTCCGTGGACTAGCCAATTTTCATTCTGAAATAAATAATTATATATTTATTTTAAAATATTTTTAATTTGTTTTTATATTAAATAAATAAATTATAATAAATCCATACGGAATCGTAATGCCAATATTGATTTCCTTTCATTCCGTGGCATTTATATAAATTCACGCTTGCTTTATTATCAATGCTTGATACATCCCAACAAACGTTACGACCCTTGGGACGAATATCTTCGTGCCAGGTAAGTATAAAATATTGTTCGGTACGAGTATTTTTAGATTTGAAATTTTTTTCACACGGTTTAAGTCCGAATGTATCTTCAGGTTCTTTTCTTTCAGTATCGACGCATAAACCAGGATCCGCTATGCTTCTTATCTATTATCACAGAAAAAAAAGTTACTTAATTAAATTAATTTGACTAAAGAAAAAATAATAATAATAAAATATTTTACCTCTCCTTCAGCTAAATCAGGAGGTTCGATGGGTGGATATTTTAAAGGCAAATCAAATGCAATATTTTCAATAAACCATTTGAAAGGTTTGCAATTTAACCTTTCCCGTACGGCTTTTTGTACGGTTAAATCTCCCGGATCGATATTTCGATAATGCGGCCTCCTCTTATACAAATACTCGGCATATTCATCCATCCATACTTCAGCAACTCTCCTGTAATTCTAAAACGGTTAATTGTTTTAAAAACAAAAAAAACTCAAATTAAATAAAATTTTTCAAAAAAAAAAAAAAAATTTTCCTTTCTTACTTTTCCAACAAAATCTCCTATACCGGGATTGGGAAACGGTGCAAATTTTCGATAAATATGACCAACTCTCGAACAGGGAGCATCGACCATTTTTCCACCGCATTGCCAAATTTTAAATGATAATTCATATTGTTCTCCACCCCATATTGCTAAACCTTCATCGTAACCGCCCAATTCCCAAAAAAATTTTGCACTAATGGCAAACAAACCACCAGCCATAACTGGACTCCTGCAAAAATATATTTTAAATTAAACAGTAATTTTAAATTAATTAAGTATGATTAAGTGGAAAATACTTACTGAAAAGGTTCTGTGGGATGTTTCAAGTCTTCTGGTAATAATGGTAATCTTTTGTAAAAGAATTCCCAATCGAAAGCACCCCTCCTACCTTCATCTTGAGCTCTATATTCGAAAGTGTCATGAGCGATAACATCAATAAAAGGACATACACAAGTTTTATAATTTTCTGCTATTGGCTCTAAAAATTATAAGAGAAAGTTAAAATATTGATTCGATGAAAATATTGATATTTGTGTTTAAAAAATTTACCAAGTAATGGAGGCAACCAATTTACATTAGCTTCAGTGTGTGAATCGAGAAAAAGTAAAACTTGAGCTTTGGCTTTTTTCGCACCTGCTAATCTTGCCCTTATCAGCCCCATTCTCTCTGGCAAGCGAATAATTTTCACTTTAGGCAAATGCCTATCTACATAAATATCTAATTTCTTTTTCAAAAATGCTGAAAAAAAAAAAAAAAAAAACAAATAAAAAAAATTATTATTACTTTCATGGCAACTTAGGCAAAGGCTAAACAATAAAAGACAAAAGAAGACGCACAAAAGAAAGGAACACAAAGGATTAGGCAGCAATGAATAATTCAAAAAAAAAAAAAAACTAGCATTTCAAAACAAAAACATTTTACTTTTTACATTAAATCAAAAATTTCAATTATGTTTTATTAAATAAGGATTCCCACCATATTTTTATTAACTTATTTCGAATGTTAAAACGATTGATAAATCGTCTTTAAAAAAAAAAAAAGTTTGCATCATACTCACGTTTAGAACTATAATCATCTACTAATATAATTTCTTTGAGCAAATGTGATGGAGATCTATTTAATACACTATAAACTGTTCTTAACAATGTGCTCCAGTGTTCATTATGAAATGGCACTACAACACTAACTGTATTTAAATTTTTCCTATATTTTTTTTCTTTACATCCCGGATGTCTTATATCTGGCAAACTCCTAAAAAAACATTTAATAAAAAATATTAATCGACAAGAACTTTTTCAATCACAACTACAAAGAAGAGAATATATGATTACCTATTGAGATATATTTTATCACTTAATAATGCATTAAATCCATTAACAGCATAAAGTGCTTCTTTCTGTACTTTTTCTTTATCTGGAAGAAAAGCTGGTTTTCCCTGTTCTCCGACTCCTATCCTATGAGATTCTTGTTTGATTTGTTCATAATTATGCCAATCAATTTTTTTTATAGCATCAAGTTCTTGCAACTAAAAGAAAACATATAAAAAACAATAATTTCATGATGCATAAACAAAAAGAGACAATTTTTTCATTACCTTATCATTATCAGGAGTGTTATATTCATTTTCATTTTTATATGGTGTTCTGTAAATGGGTTGTCGGATTAACCTGAATATTAAAACTGTAGTTGCTACAGTGAGGATGGTTAACATAAAAAATTTTAATGAACCCTTTAAATTTCGACGCATTTCAATCGTAATATAACCGTTTGTTCATGACGAAATTCTTATCAAAAACATTATTATACTGTTATCATCTTCCTTTTCTTCATTTTACATCATAGTATTTATAATAACATAATACAATACAATACAAAAAACTTTATAACCTATACTTTTTATAAACTTTTAAATTCATTTTCTTTTTTTCCTTTATTTATTTAAAAACATTTATTATAAAAAATATCGATTTCATTTATAATAAAAAAAAAATAATTATTATTTACCTAACGCCTAACGTCGTCATTTTAAAAAAACGTCACAAAAACGTTCGTTAGGCAAAAAACGGTTTTATATACACAAAAATCCGTATAAGCTAAACATAAAACTAAATAAACACTTGTTTCTTTTAATTAATTTATATACATAAATTTAAACACATATCACAGCAAATTTTTTCTTTTATTAACAAATATTTGTATATTATTTAAAAAACAAAAATATTTATTACTTTTATGTTATTAATATTTAAAACAAAAAAGAATTTGTTTCTTCACAAACTTTCTATATTGATTTAAACTTCAAAATGATTATGATGATGATGATGATGATGAAAAAATTCATCACTGAACCAAACAACTTTTTAATAAAAAAGTAAGAAAAAGTAAGAAAAAGAAAGAAATACAATTAAATATTGTAAAAAAACCTGAAAATCCTGATTTTTTGAACCTAAGAACTCACCTAAAAAAAGGAAATACATTAACTTGTCCACTTTCAATTGGTTAATGCCATTTAAAAATTATTTTTTTATTATTATTAATAATAATAATTTTTTTTATTTAAAAAAAAAACTAAATATCCATTTTGTAATTGTTTGTTTGTCTGTTTGTTTGTTTGTTTGTAAGTTAAATATTTCACATAAATAATAAATAATAATAATATTGTTATAAAAATGATCATGTCCTTCCTTCCTTCCTCACTTACCAAAGTTTTTCAAGTCAATGCCATTTATAATTTCAATACAATTTTTTTTTTTTTTTAAATTCTTTGTCTGAAAAGAAAACCTTGAAATTATAAACACAACAGAAAATTTTTTCATTGATTATTATAATTTTTTATCATACCTGTTAAAATATTAATTAAAAGTAAGAAAAATTAAAATTAGAAAATAATCCAAAAAATAAGAAAACAATGAGTGGGAGTCAAAAAGTTTTCTTTTAAAAAAAATTTTTTTTTATGTAAAAAGTGAAAATCAATTATTTAAATTATTAATAATATTAATAAATAAATGATGATGATGATTTTTTTTTATGGGATTAGAAATCATGATGAAATTTGATATAAAAAAAAAAAATGTCATAAAATAAAAACAAGTCAATTAAAAATATCCATAACGGTTAAATTTTCTTTTTTTTTTCTTTTCTCTTCCTTTTCTTTTTTTTTTTAAAACCGGAAAATTTTAAATTTAAAATGAAAAAAAGAAATTAATTTTTTACCTTTTTTTTTTAAATGCGAATCATCTTGTAACAAATAAATTAATTTGACATTTAAAATTTTAAGAGAGAAAATGAAGAAAAGAAAAAAGCCGCCATCTTTAAATTTTTTTTTAGTTTGTAATTAAAAAGAGAAAAAAGGGAAAATTTTAAAATGTTACTTTTGTTAGATTAAAATCAATCAATCAATCAATTAAAAAATATTTTCTAAGTAACGGTTATTTTTTTTAAAAAATAAAAACTAATAAAAATTAAATTTAAAAAAAATTTTTTTTCCTTACCTGTCGTGAAGAACTTGAAGAAACGTCACCGACGAAATTTACCGCGAAAAATTTTTTCACTTAAAAAAAAAAAAAATTTTTAATAAATTTATTAATTAATAAGAATAAAATAAAATAATTTCTAACATGTTAAGCAATTTTTTTTTAATTTTAATTCATTTATTAATTAGCCTGTTTTTATTAATATTTGCTGATCTGTCGAAAAAAAAAAAATAATAATAATAATAAATAATGTCCCCGTGCTGCGATTTGTTTTTTATATGGAAAATTTTTTTTTTTTTTTTTTAAAACCCCCCCCCTCCCACATAAACAATTTTTTCCCATTTTAAGGGGGGTGGGGAGGTGGGAAGGGTGGGAAAAAAATTCACATAAACAATTACATAAGAAATTAAAATATATAAAAAAATAATTTTATTATTTAAAAGTTAAAAAAAAAAAAAAAAAAAAAAAAAAAAACCTCCTAAATTTTATACAATATATTTACAATATATACATAAATAATTTCCCGGATTATATATTTTAATTAAAAATTTCACTTAAAAATAATTTTTTTTTTTAAAATGATTTCCTCAATGAAAGTATTACAGGAAAAAAAAAAAAAAACTCATTTATTTATTTATATAATTAAAAAAAACAATTTTAAATTGTTTAAATAAATAAATAAAATAGTAGCATATGTATAAATTTTTATTAAATAGGTAAAAATTTATAAATAAATAATAATTTTTTTTTAAATAAAAAAAAAATAATAATAATTAAATCAATCTCTTTGAAACAAAACGATTTCATTTTGTATAAAATAAATAAATAAATAATAAATTATTATTATTATTAATTTTTAATAAGTTTAAAAGAGATTTAATTTATTTAAAATCGTTTCTATCTTATTTCCAAATTATTTATCATATGCTAAATCAATCGATAAAAAATTAATTTCATTTGTAAAAACAAAAAATATAAATTTTTGGTAACTGATTCCCTTTTTTTATTATTATTATTATTACATTTTTCCTTTTATTAAAATAAATAAAAAATTGTAATAATGATAATTTTTCTTTTCGGTGAAAAGACACTTTCCAATTAATGACACTTTTTAAAAATGGATTCCAGGGTTTTGTAAAAAAACGTTGGACCACTTGAAAAATTTTCCAAGATTTTCCCAGGACACGTTTGTGACGTTTTCGTTTATGAGAAATATTGCTTCGCGGACGGCGCGGCCATATTTCGCGGAAATATCCGTACCGTATTAGATTATTCAAATTTGTAACTCATGACTCCGTGACTCGTCGTGTAATGATTGCCATTTTGTGGAAGTGTTATGTTAACTCCAAGTGCTTGAAGATTTCCCGTCGAAATGGTCATTCCGTTTGTCGAACACAGGGGTTGAGCCACGGTGGCTTGAAAGTGTGTAGGAGCTATTGTACGAATTTGAGCTTGTTGAATAGGTTGAGCGTGTGTCAGGTTAACGGCTTGAGTGGTATCTATTTGTGCCAAATCCTGGAGTATCGTCATCGGGTATATGCTATACATATCTTGACCTTGAGTAGCTTGAAATACCTGAACCGGTTTTTTCTTTATCGGTATGTTTTGTATTTGAACTTCGTGAACTATTTTGTTTGTCTGTAAAGCCGGTGATGTTGCTATCGTGATGGATTGATTTGGATTTCCCGTATTCGTGGATTTAGTCAGTCTTTGTAACTGTTGTTGATTCGTTTGTCGTCCTTGCTGATTTTCCGCACCCAATTTTTTGGGTTGCCTTTGCTTTCGAGCTCTTTTTTGAATGGCAAAGTCTTCTGCAAAAAAAAAAAAAAAAAAAAAAAAAAAACAAATTAAACCGAATGGACAGAAAAACAAAAAAAAAGAAAAAAATTTTATGATGTATAAATTTACCCGAACATTTCCATCCTATAATTTTTTTCCTTAATGCTATTGCTTCTTTTGTTGTATATAAATCGTGAAATATTTTACTATAATACCATTGACGTATTAAAGGCTCTGGTCTACCATCTTTCATCAATTTTCTTTTTTTCTTCGTCGTTGGAGGAAGTATCGGAATGTCAGGGTTTGCCAAAGGATTATTATCATTAAATCCCAAGTGTTGCCTGAAAAAATTTTTTATTTAATTGTTAGAAAAATGTCAAATGAATGCACGATTAAAAAATATTAAACCTAATCGTTTGCTCATCATGTTGTTATTCATACCTGAATTCATTATCGTGGACTTCGAAATTAGATTGTTGAAATGATTGCTGTTCGTGAGTAGTTAGTTCTTCCTGATACTCTGGATCGTACAAATCTAAAAAATCTTTATGCATTTGAGTTATGTTAACATCTGGACCATTATTCGCTTTTTCATCCTTTAAAAAATCTCTAGCCTAAAAAATTATCAAAATTTAACCTCAACACAAATCAAAATTACAAAAAAGGTAAAAAAAAAAAAAAGGTACAAAATGTATACTTACTTTATCTGTGTGCAGTATGCTATAAATATGATTTTTGACTAATTCTACCGTTTCATCGGAAACTTTTTTCGGCATTTTACTATGTCTGCCTCTTTCGTCCCTGGGAAATAAAACACTCTGACCGAGTTTTTCGCAGAGAATGTGAATTTTTGATTTTCCAACACCGTGAATGTTAGCCAGTGCTTTTACACATACCTGTAATGATAAAATGTTTGAATTAGTATAAAGCATCATTAATTAATTAAAAATTTTTCTTAATTTACAAATGTATAACCTGGGTTTCTTGTCCACCAACTCTAATATAATAATTAAATGTACAAGTTCGTCTTGTACTCCCTTCAGCTCTTTTCCTTGCAATAGGTACTTTTCTTATTAAACCGAATAAATATGCATTTTGTTCATCATGGCTTTGCAAAGCATAATATCCTTTAAATAGTTTCATTCGAACAGCTTTTGAAACTTTTTCATAACATCTTCTCCTGCATTTACAATCTGGACCGGGTTGCTTTTCGGGGACAACCTCACCTTTGGCATTTATGTATTCTTTGCCAGCTATTCTTAATCTTTTTCTTTTTTCTTTTGTCCATTCTGAAATTAGAAAATATATTTAATTTAATTTTAGGTACAAAGGGACGTTTATGTTTACAATAATTAAAAATCGCACATTAGAACTAGTTAGTAATTTTACCTTGGAAGTAAATTTAAGTTAAAATCGTAAGTAATATAATTGCAATAATTTTAAAAGTCGTTGAAGACATAAATAAAATCGTTATTTTACAAAAATTAATATTAAATAGGACATTTTTGTTTCCTGTACATTATATTACGTATATTAAGTAGAAAATAAAGTATAAAAAATTAAAAATTTTGTAAAATAGTGCATTGTAGTTTAATATCCTTAATAACTCTTTCAATATTTTTAAGTATCTATATATTATATATTAGTATACTCAGTATATCTTAAGTTTCCTCCAGTATAATATTTTTTTTTATTTATAAAGAGAAAAAAAAAACAATTATGGAAGCAATACATAACATTTTCAAAACATAAACAAAAATATTATGAGTTTTTATATAAAACCTGATATGTATGTATGAATAAACGCCAAAAATGAAGCATTCTACAATCAGGCCATTCTGGTAATGGCTTGAATGCGGAAACACTTTAAGTCAGAAAACGTTTTATCTATATATATTATATTATAGCCGTTAATCGGATAAAAATAATTTCGACCGCTATTAATCATACCTTAATTAAAACAATAGGTAAAATTTCAAAAAAAACATAGAATATATGAATAATAGTCAAAATATACGATGGAGCAGCCATTTTTTTTTGAAATATTCCAGAATCTCGAGAATTGAATACTTAAAACTATAATTAGGAAATTTGAATTGTAAATATATTTTACATCTCAAATCAAGCCTACCTGCTTTGTTAACAGTTCTTTTACGTTTTGGCTTGTTTAATGGATTTAATTCCATATTAATAATCACAAAATTTTAAATTCATTAAATTAATTATTTTTACAAATTTGTAAAAATCTGGTTGTGGCTTTGCAACTTGTTAAGCGAACCGTAATGCCAACTTTAATGACACAAAATTCCCTTCAATGTTGTTGTAAAGTAATGAATGACAAAAAATTTATTTTTAATACCTAAAATTTATTTTTCATTGTATTTTCCTTAAATCCTCATGAGTTGTTTTACAATTAATTGTTATATATATACTTAAATTAAACACTTTTGCAAATATTAAATAATTTTGTTTTAAAATGAAAACACATTTCTCCAATAAAATTCCTGTGTAAAAAAAAAAAACAGAATGGTGTTGTTAAACATTATGATATATTCACAATTTTATGAAAATTAATTAATATAATTATTTAATAACCACATACTCTGTACAATATTTCCTTAATTAAAATTTAAATTTTGTAAACTTTTAGGCTAAATTTACAATTTTTTTTTTTTATTAATGTTTAAAGTATGATAATAAATAGGTTTAAAATTAACGATAATCATATTAATATTAACAAAACTTTTAATGTATTTATTTTAAAATTTACAATAATAATAAATATTACCTAAATAGCTTTGTAAATTTTCATCATAACTTCACTCCTTCAAGTAATCAATCAATCAAATTCCATTACCAATCAAACTTTGCTAAAGCTTTCGGTCCTAAACTGTCAACAGAAGCCATATTATTTACCAATTGATCAATTTTCTTTCTCCCAGCATAATTATCTAATAGAAGAGATGGGGCTTTATCTTCAAAATTAGAAAGTGAAACTCCTAAATCAGCTATAGTTGGTAACTTTTTATCCACTTCATCTGTTTCGGATTCCTAAAATTGCATAAATTCCATTATTGCAACTCTGTAGTAATTTTTTTTAAATAAATTATTTAATTTCTATATTTTCAATTAAATAGTTTTTAAAGTTCAAAAAAAAAAAATAACTAAAAAAAAGGTTCTGTGAAATTTCTATTATTATTATTATTAATTATTTCTAATAAGTTTTTTAGGGAAATAGAAAAATTTATTTTTTTTTTGATGGAAATTCAAAAAGTAAACAATTCAAATATTTACCAATTCAAATCTTTCCATACAAAGCCCTGCAGGAGGATCTGGGTAAAGTGATTGCATTATTTCATTAAATTTTAACTTAGAAAAAAAGGGCAAATTATATCTCAACTCTGACACTACCGGTCCGTTACCATTCAACTGAAGTATTTGACCACAGTATGTAACCAAGTCGTGCAGATAATACCTTTCAGGTCTGTAAGAAAATTATAGTTAATGGATTTCCATAAATATGTTTTAAATTAAAAAAACACTTACCCCACTGCTTGTATAATTTTTCCTCTCATATCATAATTATCAATTGCAAGCACAACAGCTCGTGAAATATCGGGAGCAAAAACGGGGCATTTGATTGTTTTTTTACCTTTTGCATACAAGGGTATGCGTTGAAAGGTTTGTCTCCTCAATGTAAAAAGAGGCCTAAAATAAAATAAAAAAAAAAAAAAAAAAAATAATGAAATAAATTATTTAACAATAAATATAAAAGATCTAAAAAAAACATACCTCAAAAAATCATCTTCTTTTCCATAAACGCAAGATGGTCTAAAAATGGTGGCATCTGGAAATTCTTCCATTACTGCTATCTCTCCTTGAAGTTTACTTGGATTAAAATTTATTTTTTTAAAAACATATTGATTAGGATCTTTATTTACATTAAGAGTAGAAAAATGAATAAGTCGTTCAACATTGTGTTCTCTACAAGCTTTAGCTATTTCTGCTGCACCCATAACATGTACTTGGTGATAAGAGAAATTTTTAGTTTCATATATTCTCCCGATTAAATTAATTACAACATTCGAATATTTAACTGCTTTACGAATTGAAACGGGATCTTTTAAATCGAACGGCTGAAACAAAATTTGACCCAAATCTCCCATAAGTTTGAGGTTTTTTAAACTTTGATCATCTGGATCACATCTGTAAGGGATTATTATTTGAGCTCCTCTTTTTCCCAACTGATTACAAATGTAACGCCCCAAAAAACCTGTAGCTCCAAATATTGTAACGACATTTCCATTAAAACTAGATCTCCCTCCGGTACCTCTCTTTAGAGAAGTAATATCAACGTTTTTTAAGGTTTTTATTTCTTTACTGTAAAACCTGGTTGACGTTGTAAAAACTTCGGAGAGAAAAGATGATCCTGAAAGGAAAAAAATTCATTGTAAATTTTAAAAAACTAATAATAAGCAAAATTAATTTTTCTACAACTTATTTTAATTTTGTTTGATAGTGAAAAATAAATAAACTTTAAAAAAATTAAAACTTACTTGAAAAAAGTAACATTGTTTAAAATTAAATATTAAGCCAAGCAGACGAATTAATATTTTTATCGGGGCCCAATTTCCCTAATATGTGTTTTTATATTCCTTCAAATAACTCGAAAATAAATAAAATTTGAAGCGAAATTATTTACATTAATAATATTTTAAAGTTTGAATATTAAAGTGAAATTAAAAATAATTATAATGTAAATAAAACGAGTGCAAATCGTTTTACACTAATTTAAAATAATTCTATAAGAATACATTTTTTTATTAAACCAAAAAAAAAAAAAAATTATCTCAAATTGATTAAATAAATTTTTTATTGGTAGATATTTCAAGAATTTATTTTATATTACTAAAAAGCACAAAAATTAATAAATTTCAATTTTTTCTATAATAAATTATATTCATAAGAAAATAAATCTAACTTATTTCATAATGGATGCCGTTAAGATTGCAAATCAGCTTGTAATTTAAGTTCGAATGAAAAAAAAAAATATTATTAAAATATAGCAACATAAAATCGTTTTAAAAAATCACAAAATATCACTTTCTTATCGAGAAAGATTTAAAATTTTTTTCAAGAACTTATATTTTCAAATCATTTGTAATGGGTCTTTTTAAAAGTTTAAAAAATAAATGTTGTCGATTTTGATTTTATCTTTTCCTGGTTGTTTAAAGCTTTGCTTCTATTTCTTAAAGCAGCAATTAAATTTCCACGTACTGGTGATCCAGATGTTAAAACATTTACACTAATGGTCGAATTCGATTTGTCAATATTGTCTTGCACTAAAAAAAAAATTTTACTGACATAAATGAATAGGTTTAGTTTTAAATTTTCTTTTTAATCATTTTAAAGTATTTTTTATTACCCATAAAATAAAATTAACTTACAGAAAACAAAAAAAATTAAATTTAAACTCTGACATTTAAATTAAATTAAAGTTTTACTTACCGATATTGTTCTCCAAAAAAAGGTTTTTCGAATTATTAATTGTTGTTTTTCCATCATTAAGTCCAGAAATCATTTCTTTATTGTCAGAATTTAACTGATTTTCATTTTCTGTATTTTTTTTATCAGAACCATTTGAGTTTGCAGAATCTTCATCAACGTTGTTATCATTCAAACTGCTAAACAAAATATTTTGAATTTCTGATTCGTTGTGATAATTTTCATGGTCTGGAGAATTTTTGTTATTATCAGCAGCTTCTGAAAATTTTAAAAATGATTAGTGCATTATAATAGTGAGTAAAAATTTAAAAAAGATAAAATTACCATCTGCAGAAAAAGGTACACCATCAAGTAATTCAAGCTGAGGAAGAATTTTTCTGATGTGATTTCGATAGTCTGGAAGTTCTGTAGCTGGATTTCCAGTAAAAGTTATGCTTTTAAGTTTACTACACACTGACAAAAATCCAGCGTAGCTTATGTTACGGATGCGATTCCTACATCATTTACTATTTGATTAAAATTTATAATCAAAATGGTGAAGTTAATAAATAATAATAAATGTTTACCCAGATAGATCAATGTGTTTTATATGGGGCAAATTCGAACAAGGGCTAACATCATAATTAAATTTTTTTGAGCATATAATCCTTAAAGTGATAAACCAAAGGTTCCATCCAAAGATTCCAGTTGACAATGCCCAACTTTAAGAACTTTAAGGTTTTTAAAATTACAACCGATATCCCTGAATAATTTAGAATAAGATGAAACGATTAAATTTTAAAAAAGGTTTTATTTAAGATACTCACCTTAAAGAATTTAAAATGCTTCCTTCTAAATCTAGTTCTTTTAAATTGGGAAGGTATGCTGACATTCTATGCAAACTAATGCATGTAGAAATTATTCTTAACCTTAATGATTGAAGATTTTCCAGATTTGGTTCATTGGTGATTTGTCTCTTATGAAATTAAAAGAAAATATATAAAACCAATACCAATTGTAATTTTATATCAATACTTTTTTTTTCCCTACAATGAAATCAGGAAGTGAATGATCATATGGCATTATATTTCCAGGACCAGGATAATACGAATTAATTATAAAATTATTATCATTTTGTTCATCCACAGGATCTAAAGCATCTTCCACAATTGGAATAATTTCTTGAAGTGTTGGTGAAGGTGTAGTAGTTGCACTAAGAGTGGATGGCGATGGAGTTTCAGTTATTACTTGTTCAGGAATCATTGTCAAAAGTTCATTATTAGGCGTCTCATTAGAAATTGAATTATTCTCACTATAAGGACCCATTTTTAAAACGAATGATATTGACTAACGTTAAATATTTTAGGCAACTAATTTTGTAACACAGATAAAACAAAATTACACGCCATTAAAAAATGTTTTTAAAATGCACAAGGTTTAAAAATTATTTTTTTAAAAATAAACAAGTTTTATTATTAAAATTGTTCGTACTTATTTTTCTTATTTTAAAACCTTCTGTCAAATCTTTTAAAATTACTTTACGTGTTAAATCTACCTTAATAAAAAAAAAAAAAAAAAAATTTTTTTTAATATAATAAATAAGTTTGATTAAAAAAACGTTACTTAGGTAACGCGCCAAAAAGATAAAGCGCGCCGATCACACAAATAAAACAAATATGGCGTCTATTACTTGATACATAACCTTCAGTAAAATGAATAAATTAATATCCGATCAAAATTTAAGGTTAGATGGAAGAAGAGCAAGTGAATTAAGGCAAATTCGTTGTAAACTAGGCGTTTTTAGTCAGCCCGATGGTAGTGCCTACATTGAAATGGGAAATACAAAAGTATTAGCTGCAGTTTATGGACCACATCAGGTTAAAGAGTCTTACTAACTTTTGCCAAGTTTTAGTGGAAAAAATATAAACAAAAATGTTTTAATTTTATCATTAATTGTATTTCGTTAATCAGGTTCGAGGACGTACAAAACCTCTTTTGGATGCTGCAGTGATTAACTGTCAATATTCGAGTGCCGTTTTTAGTACAGAAGAACGGAAAAAAAGGCCTAGAGGAGATAAAAAAAGTCAAGAAAAATCTATGCATTTATGTCAGGCATTAAGTGCTGCAATTAAAACTGAACTCTATCCAAAAAGTCAAATAGATATTTTTGTAGAGGTTTGTAAATAATTAATTTAGGTACCTTGCATATTGTAAAATTTTTTTAAAGCTAATGTAAATTTCAGGTTTTGCAAAGCGATGGTGGAAGTTTTAGTGCAGCTGTTAATGTATCAACTCTTGCATTAATTGATGCTGGAATACCATTAAAAGAATATGTCACATCTTGTACAGCTAGTTTGGCTAATGAAAATATTCCATTAGTTGATGTCACATATTTAGAAGAATCATGTGGTGGACCTACTCTTACAATAGCAACATTACCATTAGCAAAAAAGGTATAAATTTTTTATAAATTTTACAAAAGATTATTATTATTCAAGAATACAACACATTGACAAATCATTTTAGATTGCTTTAATGGAAATGTCACAGAGATTTCACTTGGATCATTTAGAGAAAGTTTTAAATACTGCTATGGAGGGCTGTAAAAATATTCAAGTGATTTTAAATGAAGCAGTTAAAAGACACATTTTGCAAAATGGATCCTCCAATAAAAGTTCTGATATAACATTTTCTAAAGTTGAATTGTAATTAAAAATTTTAATAAATACATATAATACAGTAACTTAAAAAAAAACTTAATCGTTCATTTTTTTAATTGGAAATTTTTTACACAAGAAAAAAGGGCAAGACTAAAAAAATATACACTTGATTATTTGATTTTCTTTTAAATTCCCAAATTATAAAAACGGTTTGAAAAAATTTAATTTACGCCAATTATTCATCGAATAATTTTAACATGTGATTATTTTTGCGATTTTGGTTTTTAAGATGAGCTTCGATTATTGTTCCAAATTCGCTTCTGTTTAGTAACGAATAAGCTGTAGTTAATAGATACTGTATTGTTTTATGAAATTCAGAAGAACCAATGCAAAACAAATTTATTCCAAGTTCTAAACTAAAATTTAAAAAAAATTATGGTTCAATATTACAGATTATCGATTATTTAGTAAAAATTAATATTTTTATTTACCCATTTCCAAAATCGCATTCATCATTGGCTATGTTGGCAGCATTTATTAATGGCTGTAAATTTTCCCAAAGACCTTCTTTTTCAGAATCATCATTTGCATTTACAATAAGGTGACATATTTTTTTTAAATTAGCTTTAACAGAAAATAAAAGTCACATGAAACATGAATGAAAAAAAAAAAAAAAGAAAAGAAAAAAAATTAAATTGTCATTGCAATTGTTACCATAAGTTTCTAACAATGGACGATATCCCAATTCAGATTTTTTATCATATGGTACGACAATACCCAATTTATGAAAAGTTTGAGCGACAATTTTTTTCTGCCTTTCAGATACCTTTTTACTATTTTTTTTCTCTATGGAAAATTCATGTTTTTTAGCCCAATCGCTAAGTGATGACTGAAGTTTTGATATTTTCACTTTTTCAAAAGGATTGCAAATTTGGCATTGCTTTTCTAAATAATAACTGATTTTTCTTTACATTATTATCCTGTGGTTTCTAAATAAATATCAAAGTAAAAAATAAAATTCTTACTTACAAAACTGTTCCGAATAAATTTTCATTTTCTATTTTAAACACACAATCATCCTCATTATTACTAGCAAGAAAAACTGGTAAACATTTAGGATCATCTCTCCAATATCCTATGTGATGTCCAGATTTTGTAAGTAAAATCGTTTGAAATTCGGGAGGGTCGTAGTAAAATCTCCAATGACACAAATTAAAATTTTCTTCTGTAAATAATTCAGTGTTGCCTGTTAAAAATAAAAAAAAAATAATTTAAAATATTTAACAAAAAATTTTTCTCATTCAAAAACTATTTACCATTTAAAACATCAAATGGACCAACCAACTGCAACCCAAAAGGTTTAAAAACATTTAATGGATTACTACAGTCGATAGATTTACAAAAATCATAAAATGAATAGAAACAAGTTGGCATGTCGACTAAAAACAATGTTTTGATAATTTCCTCAACTGATTTTTCTTTTAAATCAAAATTAGCATTTTTCATTTCACATTCTTCGATCTTTTTAGGTTTTTTAACAAATATCCAAGATGACTTTTTATCATCGTCTGTAATAAACGATCGTATAAGTATGCAACTTATATAATGGTAACAATTCTAATTAAAATAATATATTTACTTTTAGTATTTGTTTTTGAATTTTCATGAGAGTTCTTATTAGTCCCCTCACATTTTGAATCACTTTGAAATTCTGAATTTTGATTTAATGTCTCGATAACTTTATGTATTTCCTATTTACAAAATACATATATTTACATTTATTAGCAGTTAACTTTTAAAAAAAAAAAAAAAAAAACAAAATTGAAAACTTACATTGACATTATTATAATTACTAGTATTTTCTTTTAAACTTTTAAATTTTTTAGAATTAGTTATAATTTTTTTAGAAAACAAATGAGAATTTTCAATTTTTGCCTTTTTAACATCAGGAGCAAATTCATCTAATTTCACCTGTCATGATAAAAATAAGGTGTGTAATTTATTTAAAATTGTTAATGATAAAAATATAATTAATAAGAATAACTTACATCGCGAGTATTTGTGATATTATTAATATTTGGATGTGAATAACTTTCAAAATGTTTCGGATTTTTTCTATAACATTTTAAACCGTACGCACACGGTGGTTTTTGCATTTTTTTTTTTTTTTTCTTCAATGAAATAGTTGGCATCATTTTCAAAACTTTTAAAAATCGTATTACTCTATGATTTATCAATTGGCGGGAAATTAGTGTGTTGTACGTTATTTACAAGAACTAATAGCAATAATTTTTAATTATTGATTTGTATTATTATTTAAATGTTTATTTATTAATAAATAATTGAATACAGTGTTACTTATTTTGTGAAATAAAACTTTTTATTTTAATAATTTAAAAAAAAAAAAAAAAAAAGGTCAGTGAATAAATTGATATAAAATTCTTTGTGGTTTTTTCTCAGGTACCATAAAACCAAAATTATCACCTCCAATAACAAAATTACCATTTCTTTGATAATTAAACGGTATTAATTCTTTATAATATTCATAATAGAAATTATTTTCATTAAGTACAGCCGTTTTATCATTTTCAAATAGCACATCTCTTATTTTATTATTAAATAAATTTTTATTTTGATTTAAACCTTCATTATTAGGTTTTGAACCATAATATTTCTTATAATACCTGAAACGTTAAAATGCATTCATTTATCTAAGGGAGATACTTACAAAAAAAAAAAAAAAAAGTTATTTATAATTGAATAAAATAAATACCTGTAACCAACTTCACCACAAAATGCAATTATAGCAGTACCGAAACCTATAAAAATAGCTATATAAGTTGTCAATAAATCAGAATTTAATAATTTTCTTTCTCTACCACCGATTTCCAAAGGGCAAATTTTACTCAATGGTAAATTAGCTTGAAGTAAATGATCTATTATTCCGCCATTAATAAATTCATTTATCCTGAAAAACATTATGTGATGATGATAATAATAATAAAAAAAAATTAAATACAAAATTTATTATTATACGGAGATGATGCTTACAAAGGATCTAAAACACTTTTAATTTTACTATTTTTTTGATAACCGAATCCCATTGATTTAAATAAAATTGATTTTGGGGTTGAAACGTAGGCACATCTTTGATTTTCAGGTAGGAATTCTCTTGTTTTATTTAAATAATTTAATAATAATATTTTATCCGCTTTTCTTTTTTCAGTCACGTATATCTTTCCTACAAAAAGAAAATTTATTTATTTATTTTTAAATTGAAATTACAAAAAAATTTTATTTACTCACATCATACCTTTTAATATATTTTCTAAACGTACAGGAAGTGAATCTGTAGTCAGTCTGCCATATTGAGGAAAACTTTCTTTGAGATAATCAAAACTATTTTCTATCTGAAAAATTAATTTTTGATTTATTTAAAATTTACATAAAATTAAATAAAATATTTATTAATAAATAATACGTTTAATAATGCTTCTTCGAATCCTCCTTTATCAATCATCCATTCACGTTTATGATCGTAAATATCTTTTGTAGTTTCGATGGTTAATTTAAAATGAGAAAGAGTTAGAAAAGCAGTTAAATTAGCCGTGTAAAATGATGTTAATATCGTTATAAATATCCACCATGTTGCAAAAAATAATCTTGGTGCATCTAAAAACGAAAAAAAAATATTTTTTTTTTTCGGTTACAAAAACGTAGAAAAATTAGGACAAAATGTGGTCAAGTTAACGGTAATTCCAAGTCAATGCCAGTGTTAGTAAATAACCTCGATCGCTTTTTCTTATCAGATATATATATAGGTCAATGACATTTATATGTAACAATGTAATAAAAAATTTTCTTTGATGCATTATATATATATTTATATTTTTTTCAATATTAATATCGCCTTAAAAAAAAAAGGAAAATTGTATAATCGCGATGTTATTATTATTATATTTTCAAGTTCAAAAATTAAATTTTTTTAAATTGAATTCAACATGCAATTTAATATTAAAAAGCAGAATTTTTTTTTTTTTTTAATTTAAAAATCAATTTTTCAATCTTGACTCTCGACTTAAAGTATAGGTATGCGCGTTTTATTCAGATGGGAAAAAGATTGGGTTTAATTAAATAATAGGGTAGTAGTACCGTATTCAGGATTTAACGTAGAACCTTGTTTCATGAGAGCACCGTAAACAAACCAAGCGCACGAATTTAAAGTATATTGATTTCTGGTCGTTAACAAACGATTGGAAAATTTCTTCGTCAGGTACGTTATGTAATACATTGTAGGTCCGGCAATTATCAGAGAGATAAGAATTAATATCCAAACCTAATCAAAACGAAAATTTATCATTATTATTATGCTTTTGTTTTTGAACGGAAAATTTATTATAAAAAAAAATGTTTTACTTCTCCTTTGAACGGTGCCAACAAACCGGATTTATTTGCTGATGCTGTTGGTCTTGACATAAGCAAAACCCATTCGAATTCCGTCAGAGGTTTCGAATATGTTATAGAAGATTGAAGAGCGTGCATAATTGGTAAAAAAGCAACAGCCATATCAATTTCCTAAGAAAAAAATGTCTTGGGTTATCAAATAGGTACCTGTCGAGTTAAAATTTTTTTTTTTTTTTTTACCTTTTTTGCAAGCATTCCGATAATTCCTTCGCTTTCGTTACCGATATTATTATTTTCAGGTACGGTAATGTTATAAAAAAATCCTAATTTATCTTGCATTTCGTGTATTAAATCAAAAACAACACCGGTACCGACGAGAGTACCATTTTCATCTTCTTTAACACCGGATAATGGTAATTTCTATATTGGAAAAAAAAAAAATTCTCACGATTTAAAATTTTTTTTTAATTTCGAAAAAAAAAAAAAAAAAATTTACCTGAATCGTAGCAAATCGTAGAGTTTTCCCTCTTAAAAAAGATTTCATTGTTTTTATAATAAAATCACAATTTTATATATTATTTTAATTAAAAATAATTAAATAAATAATTTTTTTTGTTTCCGGTTCCCAAAATTTTTCCACGCAAATAAATAAATATTTACATTAACTACTACGAAAACATTTTTTTTTTTTTTTGGAAATTTCCCAACGAATTTTATTATTATTATTATTATTTACATTTTACACGCGATAAAAAAAAAAATTTGTCGTTGATAAAAAAAAAAACGTGTGAAACGTACGGGGGAAAATTTTTAACTGACAAAATATTTGTTTTTTCGGTTGAATCATATTTTGCCCCCCAAACCCCGCCTCCACCCCCTACCCACCCCCATCAACCCCCCTCACGACGAAAAAATTTTCCCCAAATGACGTTGTTTTCATGCAAATAATTATCCTTATTACTTTTTCATGTTATTTAAATCGTTTGTCTCCCTTCTTTATAATTAAATTTTTTATCGTTTAAAAAAATTATTATTATT